TAATACACATCAAACTCTAATTATATTATATACATATATATATATGGGTATATTAATGTTTAAAAAGATTATTTCTCATTTTAAAATTGTAATGTTGGCGATTTGGCGTACAGGGTTACACATTGCTCATCACATTGTTTTTACTTCGTATGCTTGTAGGGTACGTAGCTTAGTATTTAACTAATGAATTTATATATTCTTAATGAATTTAGAGCATATCATCAATTTTAAAGCGATACATTTAAAAGAGTAGAGACGGCAAAGTGTTTACCCTTGGTCTAGTCCACTAAGTAAAAGTCTCATGTGACGTATTTAATACAAATATGGTAATCGACAGCCGTAAAAATGTTAAACCTTTTGAAAAGAAACCAAATGAAATTATTAAATTAATTATGAAATTATTTCATTATGATTACCTAACACCAACAAAAAAAAAACTACGGAGATACTAATAAATTTTTAATCTCCAGCAACTGTACACAGTTACATCAGTAATAGAAATGAATTTAATTTAATTCATGCGCAAACGAATTATGAAAAAATCAATACAATTGGATCTATAAGAATAAATTTAAGCAATGTTTACTCGTACCTTAAACCTCAAATGCCAGTGGCGAAAAAAAAGTTTAATGTTATAATATTATCATTAATCACTGTATCTCATTTTAAGTGAACGTACTTAAAATAATAAAGTTACTTAAACATAAACCTAAAATCTAAGGGCATGTTACCATTTTTACCTCATCGAAATAAAATCAAAGTTTTCTTAACAAAATACACATCTAATAAGCAATACCATAACATTAATAAACTAGATTAAAAGTTGTGTAAAAGAAAACTATCATTGCTCTCTCCATTAAACAGTTACAGTGCACCAGTTTCGCTATCCGAATAACAGGGCAACTGAGAATGGTCGGTAAAAAGTAGTGCAATTACTACACAGAGCTTCTCTTTTCGCAATCCCGTTGAAATTTATCAGCGCTTAAAATTGTTTGCATTTAACTGTACAGGCTTAAATGGGGCTTAACGTGATTCTTTCGGCCCGACACGTTTAAAGGCCCATTTACACCGTGCCAGTTTCTTGCCTGTATACAAATAAATGTTACAAATGTAGTAATGTGTCTGTAATTGTATACAAATTAAATTGAAGCAATAAATAAGTTGCATGGTCTAAACAACAAATGGTCTAACCAATTATTGCGCGCAATTTATTGCATTCAATTATTGCTCTTGCATGTACAAGAAAACGGCATCGTGTAAATGGGCCTTTATAGTCGACAAAATGGACTGGCACTGTATTTCATACATGTATTTTATGTTATGTTATAGAACTACACGATTCAAATACGAAGCGGTTCTTACACATCTAATAGATATGATAACACGCCCTTAAGGTAATGTTTTGTATTAATTATTTATAATATAATAGTATCTAGTTTATTCAGATATAATGTGTTGCAAAGCGCCTGCCGATTTAGTGAAGCTTTATAAACCAGATATAGTGAAGTAAAAGTAAAGTAACAGACTGTTTATGTACTGATATATTAGGGCATAATCTACGAGGGAACTCCTCTGTGGATTAATATCTTTTCATTATTATTATTTTGTAACGACGCACGTTTCCTACGCTGAACACTATAAAACTATTTCATTATTCCGTTCTGTGATTATGAAGTGTTCAAATAGTTGAAACCTCAAGAAATTTCTTTTAAAATGAATACAATAAATTCCAAATTAGTTTAAACTTAATACAATAAAATCCAAATGATTAATTCCGTTAGCAACTAAATTAAATTGAAATGGTCTAGTGCAAATCATAAATGTTGCAGATTTGAAAATTTCTCAAAATAATGTACCATTAAGCTTCAAACCTATAAGTAAATTAAGGAATCTAACTGTCCTAGACGAGTAATAGGAAGTAGATAGCTTCATAGGTTTGCTGTTTTAGATATATTAGAAATATTATCAGTTCACATTACGAACTGTGTGCCCTCAAAGTTTAAGCTATAATCTTATCATATTTTACGGCAACTTAATGACTCGTAACAGTTAAGTTAGCCGTTGCTAACTTACGAGTTGAACTTAATTTCATGGTTCTGTGTCTAACATATATTCAAGTATATAATGATATATATAACGCAATATATGTTGAGGATGCTAATTTATTTCAAGTTAATGAAATTTTAGACTTACGTGAGTTTAATTCGACATAGCTTTTTTTTAAAAGGATTTTTTTCGGAAAAAAAAAAGGCCAACGAGAAGGAGGTTCACCTGATGTTAAGCGATCACCGCCGCCATAAACATCTGCAACACCGGAGGTCTTGCAAACAGTTTTATTATCCTTTCCACAAAATATTCAAGGTACTTCGGGATCAATAAAGTAAAAAACTTTAATAAGATAGGAAATGTATTAACTACAATTAAAATATATTTAATTCAATTATAATAAATAAATATTTATAAATATTTTTATAGTGCTAATATCTGTACCTAAGATTTAACATTAAAATTTGTAGAAAAAGTGGGAGTCGCACCCGTTTAGCTTAGTGGCTAAAGCATCAGGCCGCGAATACCGAAGACGTGGGTGGGACTTTTTAAACATTAAATATTTTTGGATATATTTTACATAGTGTTATTTATCTACTCCCAAACATATGCAAAGCTTGCACAGGCTTTTCTTAAAAAAAATGCTGTTAACAAGAAGTCCGCATATGTCTTCCACGTTGCCAAGTTTGTGTTATTCGATATGGCTTTAATATTTTTAAGCACTAGAAATTTCGATTTAGTACTGTCCAGTTTAAAATTTTTCAAAACAGTAATTTACGGATTACCAAGAGAACCTCACTGTACAATGATGATAAATATATAAAATACATATTATCTGCATAATTCACAAACAATAATAAAATTGTGTTTCGTCGAAAAATAAAGTTATCTCGAATTCTGTTGTACGCATATTTACTCAGGCACTCATATGTGCAAGCTTAATTTATGTGTACAAAGGGGCATTACTTCAAATCAACGCGTGATTAAAATGCAAATAGCCGGCCTTTGGTACAGGACGACAGGCCAGGGGTAATTAGGTGACCAGTAGGTGTAAAGTACAGGGAGAGTTTGAACTTGCGCTATCTCTAATTCAGATGTTTTTGTTATTTAAAAAAGCTTTTCGTTGTCATGTGCATGTGAGTTAATGTATTAAAAACAACTATTCTTAGATTGTTTAAAACTCGTTTTGAACTTGTGAAAGTGTAAAAATAGCCTTCTCGTCTTATAACCATAACAGTTTCAGCAATAAGCTAAATATGTATACATCACGTGTTGAGTATTACTTAATGTCAACAGAAAATCTATACGATCTATGTATTTCCACGTAAGAAATTTGTCGTGCGTTTGTCAGTGCATGCCACTGGCATTTGAATTAGCTAACGAAGATGGCAGAAGTTCACATCCCAGGGGCTTGACGAGCGAGCACTAACTTTACGTTTAACTGCTACGTCAAGGTTGAGATATACCATTTACCACAACTTAATAATAAGGAACGTACATTCTATTAAACAAAACAGTATTTCTAACTGTCGGGGAAATAAGAGACACGTACAAAATGCCCTTGAAGGAACGATTACACATTCTTCTCAAGTGTTTCCGTCTTGATGAGTCTCATTAAAACGTCAGCTGACTATAGGTTCCGCAGCCGAATGATACTAATTCTGAAGAGAATGAATTGTACTCGTCAGCTATTTTATACATCAACGAAACTATTTTTGCTAAATAAAATAAAAGAGTTGGGTCGAATCAAACAGCAAAGTAGAAATGCAAAGGAAATAATTTGTACAATGCTTGAACACAAAAACAAGTCATCTTACATTCCATACTAACATATATACCTTAACAGTTCGCTTCATTAATCCACTTAAAAAAATTTGATAAGCTCCAGTTTAATAGGGGTCGATACAAAAGCCATTCGGATGATATCGGTCCAATTTGAAATATCTTTGAGCTTAATGAGTGAAGTCGTTAAAACCGGAACCTCGTCTCCCAACGGGCCCACTTCCGTGCGCCTTCTTTAGAACAGCTTTCCTTAAAACCAATATCAGTAATTATATTTTAACATTATTTATAAATATTCAAGGATCATACCTTACGACCGCTACATTTGCATTTATTGCTTAGGAAAAAATCTGAGTTTCACTATTTAATTTTTTTTAAGTGTCAAATCTTTTTATAAAGGAAAAAATTTAATTTAGACTTTACACGTGTATCTCAGATACACATTTTTTGACAATATCATATTCAAAACAAGCTAATAAATTGAAAATTGACGTTTAATAAGATTATAGAATGAAATTACGGGTAAAGTCGATGCGGGTTGCGTGTGCCGGGGATTAAGGCAGTCCGTAGACGTCGTTTCCCCAACGGGAGTCATGGGGCGGAAGAGAATTAATCGCCTCTGACATGTTTCTGATGTACCGAATACCTCATTAATATTTAGTTCACAATTCATGACCATGTACATCCTATATGTACAATGACAATTCGACAGAGTTAACTTAAGTTTAAACAGTTTTCAAGATATCTACTTAGATACCATAGAGGAATTAAACATATAAATATAAAAAATACAACCCACGTTTGGTAAATAAAAAAACACCTAATTCAAAATAAATGAACACATTTGTAATGTTCCAGATTACAAGACTTACCTACTAAATCATAAAATATAAATTAATATTACATATTTCATTAAAAACGATAGAACTTTCTGATAAGATGAATAATAATTTCCGATAAGAAATCGCCACTAAATTGTAAATTGTAAACTTGATATTTTACTAAGAAAAGATAATGCAGCAACTAATATTAGTAGTTATAGTGCACACTAGTAATGCTATTATCAGCACAATCGAAAACTCTGCGAGGCGCCTGCCAAGGTGCGAAACTTGACAACAACAGCAAACGCCAATCTCAAAGCGTCGACGGACTAGACTGTCAATTAAAGCCTACACTTTAATAGGTTCGCGAGCCAACCGAGGCCACTTGTGTGTTACGATTGGAGTGTCAATTAGGCGGAAACGGAGCGCGGTTTTCCGGTCGAGCGCGGACGTCGCGAGTTCCCGCCTAAACGCGGAGGCTTCGCGGCGGGCGGACGTACGAGCGGGATCGCGGGCGGCGCGCGACTGGGGCGGATCGATCCCGCCCTGCCGCTGCTGCCAGCCGCCACGGCCGCGGCCACGTCCCGCGGGGCTGCAGATGGATGCACGCTGCATAGGTCCGCTGGATGTGACAACAGTCGGAATCGAATGACGTCGAACCGACGCGACCGTGCGCCTCAACTCACGCATTAATAACGTCTCCGCAACATGTAGAGTGCAATGGAAGTGTTTTTTAACAAAACATTTAAAAGCATTTTATTTATTGCATATTATCATCGTCCTGCCCTTATCCCACGTAAGCGGGGTGAGGGATTAGAGTTTGTATTAACGTCCGTAGGTAAATCTGAAAAGTTAGTGATAGGTTTAACGATCGACCATATGTATGACTATTGAATATTACGGTTACTTGAAGTTATTTGTATTGCCTATTAGTTATCGAAAAAATATATATTGTTTTACGATCATTCATAGTACATTCGTCGATCACATTAAGGTGCAGAAGAAACAAATAAATATTTTAGAACATGTTTTTTACACAACGTACACAAGGTACTAGGTAACTGAAAAAATATTTAAATAAACACATATTAATGATACATAAACAAACACTCAACACTAGAAATATACGATAGAACCGACACCCCCTTGCGCAACAGAAAGGTTCACTATCCACTACGCCGTATGATTCATAAAAAACAATGAAATGTGTTTTGAATTAAACCATTTCTTCTTTGAATGAAAGAACCAGATTAAATGGGTATACCATTAAGGTGTATTTTGAACAACTAAGTATGTCACATTCAGTCGATGTAAATCTACGTCCAACAAATTGAATAACTCACGAAAGATCCACGCACTCGTATCTAAAGTACGACAGGCCATCTATTTGAGGCGACTGTCCCTTTGAAAATAGGATTGAGTTACTCAATGTGAACGTATTGGCAAAGCTCCTTTTTTCTGGAACCGTGAAAGAGCGATTTATTTTACGTGATAACAACAGTATTTGCATCTCATGTTTTATTGTCAGTGAAACGAGTAATGTTTATGTTCAAATTTTCCATCCTTTAGGCGCTTACTTATAAGCTCCGAAGATTTGAAGTTCAAATTGTGTTCCAATCTTTTGTCTTTATCTATTGTAAGCAAGTTAGCTTATTAGCTAGTTAACATAGTTATGAAGCGTTAAAATAAAGATATCTAAAGATATCCCTTAACGATAAAAATAACCTGCATCATCCAAAGGTTTGTATTTTGATCCTTAGACGAAAAGTTATGTAATTAAAGGGGTAAAATAAACATAATATATATATATATATATATATATATATATCTGCGCCAGAGGGTGTGGGTTCGATCCCCACTACTGGAAAAATATTGTGTGATGATCATAGTGTTTTTCTAGTGTCTGGGTGTTTATATATGTATAATGTGTATTTATTTACAAAAGAAAAGTATGTTTAAGTATGTCTCTCAGTTTTCTAGTACCCATAGTACAAGCATTGCTTAGACTAGACTATTATATTTGGGACTAGAGAACGTTGTGTAAAAAGAATGTGTCCTAAAATATTTATTATCATAATTATTATTATCATTATATATATAATACAGATTACATAATTACGTAACTTAAAGAACGTTGATATATAACCTATAGCATAAATAAAACCCGAAGAATCTATTAAGGGGCCGTCCATTAATCACGTGATGTTTTTTATGATTTTTTAACCCCTCCTCCCCCTTGGTACTGATACGTGGTGATGTTTAAACCTAACCCAACACCCCCCCCCCCCACCCAAAAGCACGTGTATATTATCTTATTAAAATTTTTAGAATTTTATCTGTTTATTTTACAGTATAATCTATCTTTTTTCTGAAATGCAGGACCATGCAAAAAATGTAACGGCGAGTCAAGGTCACACACACTACACGGTTTAGTTTTTCGGTTTAGAAATCGGGCGATTGACAAATAAAATAAATACACATAATATCTTACTACACCACCCCCCCCCCCCCCCCCCCCCCGCCCCTTGTGATTTTTGCTAAACCCCCAAAGTTGGTTTTAAACCTATTGTCACAAGATTTTTATTTTTTATTAGTACTCATTTTTTTAACTATAAAACTATAAACTATAAAATCAGCGAAACATTTTACTCATATCATATCACGCAAGAACAACCAAGGTCGTATTACATTGATCGTTAAGGCCATTTTGAATTCAATGATTCGTCACACAGTGACCGGACGCGTTAATGTCTCAATAAGCATTATCTATTTGAGTCGAATGCTAAAAACTCATTGCTATTCTTATAGTTCAATAAGTCGGCATTATTACATAATAAAATAATAATAAGTATCAACCTATACAGAGGGTCAGGGCATAGTCCACCAGGCGGCCCCAATGCGAATTGGCGGACTTCACATGTCTTCGAAACATTTTTTTTATTAATTAAATTTAATAAAATAAAAAAATTAAATTAATGTATATAAAATATACGTCTTGGTAACTATTAAAGCGACTTTAAGCTTTCTCATAGTAGTTAGTAGTAGTCGCTCCTAATGACATCCGACTCATCTTTAAACACAAAAACACAGTTAAGGCATTAAAGGCATAGTTCGGTATATCGGGCCATTTTTAGAACGTCGCAAAGGAAGGGCAGTCGACAGGCGTCTCGGAATAGCGCGATCATACTAATTATCGCCCCCGTCATCCGTCAGATGTTGCGAGGGGGATCTGGATAAATTGAACGGTGATTTATATAAAATACTAGGTCTCATTTTCGAAATTGTCACTTTAATATAGGTAGTGCCTTTTGATTCGTTCAAATAGAACCATTGCAAGTCAAACTATATGCTTACGAGATGATAGCAAATAAATGGAGTATTTAATTAAACCAATGATATTTTTATAATATACTACTAAATCATAGAACATATACGATAAAACGAAAAGAATCGAGACAATTAAATCGTATATACAGTACTTTACACTGCAATATATTCATATATTGTCACATACCGGCTGCGGTCCCTGGCGCAGTCAGCCATAAGTCAAACCGAAAGAAAATAATTTATAACTACTAATTCCGAACAACCAAAATAAAACCCAGACAGGATATGAACAGTTTAGTGCCCTTTATACGAGCCGTAAAGTTTAAGTAAACTAAGATAATTGTGGAAGATTAATGACGTTTGGCTCGGTTGAAAAACTTAATAGTACCATAAAAAGCATATATACGCCTTGCGATACTAAGGGTATAAGCAATACCGGAAATATTTATTGCCAGCCACTGTACTAAATTCGTCACTTCGGGGCCTCCTAAGCACAATATTTAGCCTTATAAAGCCTTACTAAAACGAAGGAAAATAATAAAAAGTCGTAGCGCGGGAAATAATTGTCAATAATTTTGGCTTCACAATGTTGGCTTCAATAATCAATGATTTTTGAATTAAATCAATTAATTTTGTAATGTGCAACTTTCGACTTATTTAAATCCAATGCACAAATTAACTTTAAACAAAATGTTTACATAGAAGTATCTGCTATAAATTCAATCCCTTCTAAGTTACCAATGATTAGACTAGTTATACAAAAACGACTAAATTTATTATAGTCAGAATAATCTTACCTATTCATTAACTTTAAATTTGTCGAATATATATACAGGGGTCATCGCAGCAGTGTCGGACGCTACACTCGAACAATCTGAGTTCAAATCCCGATGATATTGTCATTCATCATCATATTTTCAGCCTGTTTGAGGCCACTACTAAACAAAAGACTGCCACGAAGCACGAAACTGAGCCACCTGCATAGACCGTCACTCCATCTAGTCGTCCTACACTGCGATGGTCAATACGAGACTGCCACTCAAGAACCTTTCGTCCCCATCGGTTATCGGTTCTACAACCTACTGCAAATGTATATAACTCTATCACGCAGAGAAATATCAAGCATAGCTCGCTCTATAGCTGGCTGGGCGACTTTGAACTTCATCGTACGGCCCGTAGTGAAAGATCATGTCTCGGTTCCGTAGGTATTCAAATATTGAAGGATATCAAACGAGAATATATGCCAAAGACCTCTGCATCAAAGTTGGATTTACCTATATGTTCGAGACAGTTCCCAGCGATGGATGACCATCGCTGGGCCCTGCCAGACGATGTGCGCGACTTGCTGAGACGCAAGAATGCGGCCACTCGTGCCTATGATAGATATCCCACCGACTCGAATCGCAGACTGCTACGTAAATTGCAGCGTGAGCTCAAAACGGTGAAATGAACGGTGGGACTCCACGTTCACTTCAATGAAACCGTCCCATCAAGCCTTTTGGAAACTTCCTAAATCCCTCAAGGGTAACGCCACTTCAACCATGCCACCATTAGTCCGCTCGATAGGTACGCCAGCAATGCTGGACGAAGAGAAAGCCGAATGTCTGGCTAACAGTCTAATTTCAATGCTCCCCTAGTCTGCTTCCGGTCAACCCCGAACACCTCCGCAAGGTAAACAAAGAGGTTGAAAGGAAAGCTATAGAGCCACTTCGCGATCCCGTTCCCCCGGGTCACGTGCCCTGAACTAGTAGAAACCATTAAAAACAAAGCCTGGCAAAGCGCCTGGCGCAGATGGTGTCACCAATAAGGTATCACCAAATTATCACCAAACTCCTCCCTTCTAGCATCCTTCAGCTACTAGTAATAATATACAACGCGACTATAACCGAAGGCTTCTTGCCGTCCGAATGGAAAGAAGCTGATATCATAGGGTTCCTCAAACCCTCCAAACCCGCCACCCTCCCAACCACATATCGCCCAATTAGTCTTCTCAAAACATTTGGGAAGATCTTTGAAAGACTAATATTAGCCAAAGGGCTCCCCATCCCCGAAAAGTTTGGATTCAGAGCCAAACATTCATGTACCCACCAAGTGCATCGCATTACGGAGCATATTCTAACCAAACGCCAACGTGGACTCAACACCGGAGCACTCTTCCTAGATGTAGCAAAAGCCTTCGATAAAGTCTGGCAGAACGGGCTCGTATACAAGTTATACGGGTACGGGGTGCCTGACCGTCTCGTATGCATAATACGAAAGTTCCTGTTTAATCAGACCTTTCGCTATCTCGTCGAGGGCGTGTGTTCGACATCGCATCCCGTTCGAGCCGGGGTGCCCCAAGGGTCGGTGTTGGGCCCAGTCTTGTTCATGCTCTACACCGATGACATGCCGGACTAACTGTTCTAAGTAAACGTAATCGTCAACAACTTCGGGTACAGTGCTCTCAACAACAACCCGTATAGGCATAACATGGATATGATCTTCTTCTTGTCTATGTTCACCTTAACGTGGCCCACCCGTTGAGAGACATTATTGAGATCATTGAGCATAGTACTAAGGTCCTCAAGTATCCTACGTGGACAATGTCGATCGTATCCGTGTTACTCCTATGCAAACACCTCAGCACCTCATGGTCACAGCGGTGCCACATTAACCGTTCGTATATCACGAACAGGTAATGTGACACCGCTGAAGGAACTGGAGTACCGCTTTCCGCTTTACCGCTAAGGCTTTCTCATATATATATAATAGTATGCAATCTCATATATTTATCATAGTAGCATAGTGTGCACATGGGTGCAACGTATTATACATAAAAACCACATCAAGATCCGTTGCGTAGTTTAAAGATCTAAGCATACATAGAGGCAGACAGACAGCGGGACGACTTTGTTTTATACTATATAGTGATGAGAGAGCCTTCGATTTCACATAATCCACATACGCGAGGAACAAAGAACTTTTTCGTCTTCTGTATAATCTGCCACAAAGTGTGTATGTGGTCTAAGCCTTTTCGGAATCCGGCTTGTTCGGAAGGCTGGAAGTCGTCGAGTCTA